GGGGGGGGGGGGGGGGGGGGGGGGGGGGGGGTATGGATCACGTTTCACAACGAAAAAAAGCCGTTTCACGATTCACCTGTCTTAAAAAAGCAATTTCACGGAAAACTAGATTCTAATAAAATAATATAATAATAATAGGTTTATCAAGACTATGTTTAATGCATGGTACAGTATCTACGCTTTTCTCATTTCTCTACCTGTCAGTTAAAAACTACATCATAACTTACAAGTTTGAGTGACGAGAATGTATCCTCAACGGGAGGAACCTCGTCCTCAACGGGAGGAACCTCGTCCTCAGCGGGAGGAACCTCGTCTTCAGCGCCAGGAACATCGTCCTCAGCGCCAGGAACCTCGTCCTCAGCGCCAGGAACCTCGTCCTCAGCGCCAGTAACCTCGTCCTCAGCGTCAGTAACCTCGTCCTCAGCGCCAGCAACCTCGTCCTCAGCGCCAGAAACCTCGTCTCAGCGTCAGGAACCTTGTCCTCAGCGTCAGGAACCTTGTACTCAGCGTCAGGAACCTTGTCCTCAGCGTCAGGAACCTCGCGAAAGGCCTCCGAAGTTTTTTCTCTTGTGCAATCGAGTGAGATCATATAAATTTGATTATCGCGTATCATGTTTATTATAGTAATCACAATAATAATCACAGTTCACAAAACAGGCATCCTTAATTCTCATTTCACGGAGCATTTTTGTCAACAATCACGTCTCACGGCTGTAAAACAAATCACATTTCACGACACTAAAATCACACATTTCACTCGAACAAATATTGACCATTCACGGCTCACGAAAATACCCTACCCGACCCTCTACTAAGCTATTCCCTTGTGTATGAATTTGCTTTTTTCACTTCCGGGACAGCTTTTATAGACTATTCTAAACTATATTTTGATGCTTACATGAAGTATTCCACTTTGTAGCGGGTAGATTGGACATCGGAGAAAAAGGTCGACCGAAACCTATAGTCGCTCTCTCCAGCGACTAATTACGAGATGAATTTTGTCACTATTGATTATTAAATTTGATCTATATAATAAAGAACAAATGTCATGGTTGTTTAAAATAAGGGTCCATCAAACTTTTTTAACGCTTAAAACAACTGATGCATGATTTCAATGGTCGAATGGATGAACAAAACTTTGTTTTAAAACGGCCATATAATATTGGTACTACTATAACAAATTTGCGAATATGTATGCAATCTCGATTCTCTATTTCTGTAGTGTAAAACCCTGAAGGAATGTATACATTTTGTATAAAAGATTACTAGACATAAATCTAACTTAGCCATACACAAGCTAGCTTGCCGTTTTGCAAAGATGTCTGTAGGTTAAGTGAATTTAATTTTTTGTAGAATATTCGCTATGCATGTCTCATCGCTCCTTGTCTCCTTCGTGTGGATTTTGCTGGGTCACCCGTGGCTGAGTACCTCAGTTGATTCAAAGGCAAGTTATTCTACACTCACTTTATAGCCCAAACCTGACAAAATGTTGGCATATTCACTGTCACAAATTACTCTAGTTGAAAGATGGTATATGGTGCATGTTATAAAACATAGGCAATGGTTAACAGGAATACCGCACACCAATTATGTTGCAGTTAAATATACGTAATGCTGGATATACTTTTCTAGAAAGTCAGTCTTCGGGGTTATGATCCAGGAAAATGTAATAAAAAAATCATGGCAAGTTAGTCATGGTCAAAAATCGTCTGGACAATGACAAACTGTTGGTTTGTGCTGAAGAAAGTAAAGTTTATCTCTGGAAAACAACTGATGGTAAGGTTTCATATTGCATTCCAATGCAAGCCGACATAATTCACAAACTAATCATGATTTGGCATACGATTCTTTAAAAGGTTCCAATTCAACAGGCGAGTTTTTCAATCCTGCATACGACTGTTCAGATGCTCTCAACAAAATATCTGAGGCGAAGGATGGGTATTACTGGATCAAATTATCTGGAAATGTTCCAAAAAAGGTACTTCTATATATCAGCCATGCTTCCTGCAGTTTATGATCATGATAAAGTTTACGACTTTGCTCTACAACACTTTTTGTTTTAGGCGTATTGTGACATGAAGACTGACGGAGGAGGGTGGGTGCTAATTGGTCGTAAAACGGACGCCGTCACGTGGACAGTACCATCCAATAACAGGACAGTTGAACCATTTGGCAAACCTCATTGGTTTGGCAAACCTCATTGGTCTAGCTCACTTGGTGATGCTCCAATCGTCGACTTCCGGGTTCAAGTAGCAACACAAGAAGATTTCAGTGCAACGAGAGCTCATTGGTGAGTACATTAATAACAAAAAATTTCAATCTTAAATTTCCTCAGCAAAAGGTTGTTTTGTGTTGAGCACTATTCTGTGTATACGCAATCATCACTGTTTAGTGTTTCTTATATGTATTAATGCCAGATTTCCTATAAATCTTCAATTTGGTTATACAACATGAATTAAATATCAGAGCCCCTTGGGAAATGATAGGATTTTGGTCATCTACCGGGTGGCGCAAAAAAAAGTTAACCTGTTTGATTTGTTTTAACTCAAAAGCTAAAAGAGCTATTACACGTGAACTATGTGCATTGCATTCAGTATTGTCCAATTTAAATTTTGATATATGCGCCCAGTGCATTTTCGTGCAATATTGACCGAGAGAGCTGCGTTTAAACTTGAGTAACCATTTTTGAAAGTGTCGAGAATTTAATGCAGCAATAACTTCTGCTTAGACGCACTATTGTCAGAAAATACACGTTCGTTGTCAGAGACCTGCCCAACGCCGCCGGTATAACCTCACGAGCATTATTTACCCTTGCATATTCTAAACATATCGATACTCTTTGGTCCTTCGTTAAACGAGGCGTATTTATAAAAAAACACTTGACGTTTCTTTCTTGGAACATTAGAATTTGATCCCCAGGGTCATTGAATATTTAGAATAAATCTTTTAATCAAAATCGCTTCATAATTTAATTTTCATGCATCCCAAAGACCAAAATAAAAGAGCACATCCATCCAATAAACGTTTTTAATTTAAACTTCACTCATTGAAACGAATATTTACGATAAAATGGTAACGGTTATCAAATTAGTTTAACAGACCGTTTTTAGCTAATTCTCGACACTTCCCAAAATGTTTATTCATGTTTAAACGCAGCTCGCTCGGTCAATATTGCACGAAATTACACAAGGCGTATATCAAAATTTAAGTTAGACAATACTGAATACAATGCACGTAGCTTAAGTGTAATGGCTCTTTTAGTTTTTAAGTTATTGTAAATCAAACAGGTTAACTTTTTTTTGCGCCACCCGGTACACTCGATATAACTAATTGTAGAAGGGTTTTGTAGATGGAAATTTTGAGTGTGAATTTTGTAGATTTATTATAGACCTAACCAGAAACAGTTGTAAAAAATGCAACTAAGGCCCCAACTAATACACTATAGGAATTGAACCTGCGGCCATGTGATTCCTGCGCAGCGACCAACTGAGCTACGGAGGCCAGGAAAATAAGTTCGTTTTATTAAATTAATAAGTCATGATGGTCATTGTGGATGCGTACTCGTATATTAATAATGATCATAATGGATGATATAGTAATGGTGCATGATGTCATGAATAATCATGTAGTATGATGATAATAGGTATGATGGGTGCTTTAAATTCTTTTTTATGTGTGTGTAGGTCATTCAGACTGAAAAACAAACGTCCTTTAAAGAATCTTTTGATGCTCAATGAAGGAGGATGTGGTAGATTATGGCCTGGAATTGGAGATATTTCTTATGTTAAAGATCTTCAGACTGAAGAAATTGTCACGACAAAATTTCGTTGTTCACAATTCAGCTATTATCATTCCAAGTCGGACGGCTTTGGTTGGGTAAGTTTTTCAGACGACCAAATGTTTCATATTACAATCTTTTTACTACAAACAATGTTCTAAGTTCCAGTTGAGGAACATTGAATTAAACGATGCCAAAATTACATGAAGTTGAATTTGTTATATATAGGACATGTTGAACAATTGTTTGAACCGTCCATGCTCACTTGGCTTTGCCTTCCACAAAAAGTATCCAGTTCAAATTGACTTTTCTGGAGCTTTTAGGTAAATATGACCATGTCAATACTACGACCTTCAACCTAGGTACATCGCAGCCAAAATAATGATCTTATTGCTGCATATTGAATCTTTCTTTACAGCTATAGTGCGTCTGGAAATACTTCAGGAATCGCCCATGATTCAACCTCATTTGTTGGCTGTAAAAATCATAAAGTAAATTTTTAGTTCATTTTAGTATAATAATTTGTCATGTAAGATGTAACCAACATTATAATTATATAAATAGACAATTACACTTCTGGCAAAACGTAGATAGTTTTATCTGAACGTCATTTAAAATAAAATTCATAAGTAAATTAGCCAATCATAAATTGCTTGTTTTTACTTGCA